CTGTGAAAAATAGTATGGAGGTTCCTAAAAACATTTTTAATGACCCATCCTTACTAGGTCTATACAGATTTTCTATTTCTTCATGATTTAGTGTTATCGGTTTTAGGCTTCTAGGAATTTATCCATTTCTTCTAGGCTATCCAATTTGTTAACATACAGTTGTTCATAGTAGCGTATTATAATCCTTCTTATCTCTGTAGAATCAGTAGTAATGTACCCACTTCCATTTCTAATTTTAATAATTTGAATCTTCTCTTTTTTTCTTGGTCAGTCTAGCTAAAGGTTTCTCAATTTTGTTGATCTTTTCAAAGAACCAGCTTTTGGCTGCACTGATTTTCTCTATTGTTTTTCTAGTCTCTCTTTCATTTATCTATGTTCTAATTGTTATTATTTCCTTCCTTCTGCTAGCTTTGGATTTAGTGTGTTCTTCTTTTCTTAGTTCTTTAAGTTTTTAAGTTAGGTTGTTGACTTAGGATCTTTTTTGTTTTTTACTGTATTTTTAGCTATAAATTTCCCCCTTAGCGTTGCTTTTGCTGCATCCTTTGAGCTTTGGTATATGGTGTTTTTTGTTTGTTTGTTTGTTTTAAATATTTATTTATTATGGGGGGTGGTGGTGGGATGAATTGAGAGATTGGGATTGACATATATACACAAATATGTATAAAATAGATAACTAATAAGAACGTGCTGTATAAAAAAATAAATTAGGGGCTTCCCTGGTGGTGCAGTGGTTAAGAGTCCGCCTGCCGATGCAGGGGATGCAGGTTCGTGCCCCAGTCCGGGAGGATCCCACATGCCACGGAGCGGCTGGGCCTGTGAGCCATGGTTGCTGGGCCTGCACGTCTGGAGCCTGTGCTCCGCAATAGGAGAGGCCACAACAGTGAGAGGCCCGCATACCGCAAAAAAAATAATAATAATAATTTTTAAAAAATAAAAAAAAGCTCAAAAAATTTATTTATTTATTTGTCTGCAGTGGGTCTTGGTTGTGGCATGGGGGATCTTTTACTTGTAGCATGCAAACTCTTAGCTATGGCATGTGGGATCTAATTCCCTGACCAGGGATCAAACCCGGGTCCCCAGCATTGGGAGCACCAAGTCTTAGCCACTGGACCACCAGGGAAGTCCTGGTATGTTGTGCTTTCATTTTCATTCATCTCTAAGTATTTTATAACCTCCCTTGTGAGTTCTTCTTTGATCCATTTGTGGTTTAAGAGTGTGGTGTTTAATTTCCACAAATTTGTAATTTTTCCAGTTTTACTTCTGTTGTTGATTTGTAAGTTCATCCCTTTGTAGTCAGAGAAGCTACTTTGTATGACATCTATCTTTTAAAATCTATCCAGACTTACTTTGTTGCCTAATATATGTTCTATTCTGAAAAATGTACCATGTATACTTGAGAGGAATGTGTATTCTATTGTTGTTGGGTAGAGTGTCATATATATGTCTGTTAGATCCAGTTGGTTTGTTGTATTTTTTACGTTCTCTATTTCCTTATTTATCTTCTGTCTGGTTGTTCTAGCCATCATTGTGAGTGAAGGATATTGAAGTCTCCAACTATTATTGTAGTACTGTCTATTTCTTCCTTCAATTCTGTCAGTTTTTGCTTCATATATGTGATGGTCTGTCATTAGGTGTCTAAATGTTTATGATTGTTATATCCTTTTGCTGTATTAAACATTTTATTAATATGTAATTTCCTTCTTTATCTCGTAATCTTTTTGATGTAAAGTCTTTTTTGTCTGATATTAGTATAGCCACTTTTGCTCTCTTGGTTACTATTTACGTGGAATATCTTTTTCCATCCTTTTACTTTCAATTTATTTATCTCTTTGTATCTAGAATAAATCTCTTAGACACACAGCATGTAGTTGAATCATGAGTTTTTATTCATTCTACCAATCTCTGTCTTTTGATTGGGGAATTTAATCCACTTACATTTAAAGTAATTACTGATGATGGGGGCCTTACTTTTGTCATTTCACCATTTGGTTTCTGTATGCGTTATAGCTTTTTTGACCCTCATTTCCTGCATTACTGTCTTCTTTTGTGTTTAGTTGATTTTGACTCCTGATCTCTCTGACCTCCCTTCTATGCCCCCAGGACCCACGCGGCCTGGATGGGGCTTTGGAGGGGTGGGTACCGGTCTGGGAGCTCAGCAGGCTCCCCGGCCTGAGTGGGCCAGGCAATCACCCTCCACTCCTCTCCTGCTCTTCCCAGAGAGTCCCTCCCACCTGCTTCTCCTGATCTCCCCAGCCTCAGGGGCGCTGATCCTGTCTGGCCTCCACTTCTCCTCCCCCCTCAGTCCCTCTATGACCCACTGGTTCACTTTGGGGTTCCTCCTGTCTCCTTGGGCATCAGAGTGCCCCACCAGTGGCTGGCAGGTACCCTAGTTGTGGGGAGACACTAACTCCATGTCTTCCCACATGGCCATCTTGACTCCCACTACTCTCATTTCCTTTTGTTTATATTTCATAGCTGTTCTGTGTGTGTGTGTGTGTGTGTGTGTGTGTGTGTGTGGCTACCATGGGGGTTACATTTAGCATCCTAAAGTTATAACACTAATTTGAATTTTTACTATCTTAACTTCAGTAACATACAAATACTCTGTACCTTTACAGCCCCTCTGTCTTCACCCCTTCCAGTTGATGTCACAAAATTATCTTTATACACTGTGCCCCCCAAAACATAATCTAATAATTCTTTTAAATGCATTAGTCTCTTTAGTTATGTAGAAAACAAAAATGGAATTACAAACCATTGTTATAATAATATTAGCTTTTATAATTGCTCAATGATTTACCTTTATTGAAATCTTTATTTCTTCATATGGTTTCAGATTACTGTCTAGTGTCCTTTCATTTCACCCTGTAGGACTCCCTTAAGCATTTCTTGCAGGGCAAGTCTAGTAGTAATGAACTCCCTCAGCTTTTGTTTATCTGGAAACATCTTAATTTCTTTCTCACTCTCACAGGAGTTTGGCCAGATATAGGATTCTCGTTGGACAGTTTATTTCTGGCCTCCAACGTTTCTGGTGAGAAATCTGCTGACTTTCTTATTGAGGATCTCTTGTATGCGATTGTTCACTTCTCTCTTGCTGCTGTCAAGATTCTCTCTTTATCTTTGGCTTTTGAAAGTTTGACTATAGTGTGTCTCAGTGTGGATCTCTTTGAGTTCATCTTACTTGGAGTTTATTGAGCTTCTTGGATGTTTATATTCATGTCTTTCATCAGATTTGGGAAGTCTTCAGCCATTATTTCTTCAAATATTTTCTCTACATCTTTCTCTCATTTCTTTTTCTGGAACTTCCACAATGTGTATGTTGGTCTGCTAGGTAGTGTCCCACTGGTCCCTTGGGCTCTGACCACTTTTCTTCAGTCTTTTTCTTTCTGCTCCTCAGTATCAACAATTTTTATTGTCCTGTAGTCAGGTTTACTGATTCTTTCTTTTGCCTATTCAAATCTGAATGTGAATCCCTCTAGTGAATTTTTCATTTCAGTTATTGTACTTTTCGGCTCCAGAATTTTTTTGTTTGTTTCTTTTCTTGTTAGGTTTTCTATCTCTTTATTGATATTTCTATTTTGTTCATATATAATTTTCTTGACTTTCTCCACATTTTCCTTTAGTTCTTTGAGCATCTTTAAGACAGTTCTTTTAATATGTTTTCTACATAGCTTAAACATAAATATGGATTATAGAAAAATAACTAGACAGTTGTCCATTCACACTGATACAGTTAAATCACTTAGGGAATGTAGCCAAGGAAATAAATAAAACCCATGTTTATTATAATATTAATTGGAAATTTGGAAGCAACATGCTCTCCAACAACTAGGGAGCACTTATCATAAGTAGCACTTGTCAGCATGATAAAATATAATCCAGCTTTTAATTTATTAAATACACTAATAATATAAAGAACTTTCTCATAATGTCAAGTAAAAAGAGCCAGATTTTAAAAAAATTGTATGGTTGTTATAATCATGATTGTATAAAAAAGATTAACAGAGATCCTACCAATAAATGCACCAAAATATTAAGTTTTTGTGTTTGATGATGGAATTATAGATGACTTTTAAAAATTTGTCTCTTCTCTATTTCCCAAATACGTATTTCTCATTGAGCATTTATTTTTTATCATCAAAACAAACTTTATTAAGTATGTATCTGGGTACAACTATAAGTAATGTAGAGATATAACTATAGGGTTGTTTTCATGTTGATTTGAATTCTTCCACAACAAGAAATGATAAAGCCTTCAGCTGGTGATGGCTGAAGAATATGGCTTCTGCATTGTTCTGCCTGAATTCTCTTCCTATGTCAGTTTGCTTCAGTATTATTATTATTATTTTTAAATTTTAATTATTTATTTATTTTTGGCTGCATTTGGTCTTCATTGCCACACGAGGGCTTTTCTCTAGTTGCAGTGAGCGGGGACTACTCTTTGTTGCAGTGCAGGGGCTTCTCATAGCGGTGGCTTCTCTTGTTGCAGGGCACAGGCCCTAGGCGCATGGCCTTCAGTAGTTGTGGCACGTGGGCTCAGTAGTTGTGGCTCACAGGCTCTAGAGCACAGGCTCAGTAGTTGTGGTGCATGGGCTTAGTTGCTCCACGGCATGTGGGATCTTCCCAGACCAGGGCTCGAACCCGTGTCCCCTGCATTGGCAGGTGGATTCTTTTTTTTTTCTTTTTTGCAGTACGCGGGCCTCTCACTGTTGTGGCCTCTCCCGTTGCGGAGCACAGGCTCCAGACGCACAGGCTCAGCAGCCATGTCACGGGCCTAGCCGCTCCGCGGCATGTGGGATCTTCCCGTACCAGGGCAGGAACCCGTGTCCCCTGCATTGGCAGGTGGACTCTCAACCACTGCACCACCAGGGAAGCCGCAGGTGGATTCTTAACCACTGCGCCACCAGGGAAGCCCCAGTATTATTTTTTATCTTCTACCTCCTTCTTACTTATTCCTTGTCTACTCTAAAAAGTGCCTAACTGATTTTTTTCCTTCTCAGCATACCCAGTTGTGGTCTACAGACCCCCACCACCAGGATACAGAGCCCCACCAGCAGGATATGGAGCATCACCTGCAGGATATGGAGCCCTGCTTGGGGGATATGGAGCCCCTCCTGGGGAATACGTAGCCCCACCTGTGGGATACGAAGCCCTGCGTGGGGGATATGGAGCCCCACTTGCAGGATATGGAACCCCACCAGTGACATATGAAGCCCTGCCTGCAGGGTATGGAGCCCCACCAGCTGGAAATGAAGCCCCACCTCCAGCATATGAAGCTCCACCTGCTGGAAATAGAGCTGCCTCTCACAAATCTGTGGCAGCCCAGCCGGAGGCTTCTCTTCCATCTACGTCATCTTCTCAGGCTCATTTACCACCTTCTAAGAAGTAAACATTGAAGACTCACCAAGCAAAGGGCACCCTAAAACTGAAGTCACAATAAGAAGGATGACTCAGGTATGTGGTTAAAGGCCTGTCTCAGGTAGTTGTCACACCCTTTGGAAAGGCAACCTTAGAGGGAAGATGAAGCTTTACTTCCATGCCTAGATTTTAGAGGCAGAGTCAACTCTTGATTAGATGGGCTAAAGGAGAAGTAGAATTGTAGAGCTAATTCTCCAAAAATTTGGTGTACATTGGGCTGCATTTTTTTTAACATGCCTTGAGTGAATGTGGAAAAAGTGTCCTGCATTTTCCCCTCCCTCATTCAAGAAACATTTATTATGCTCATTTTGCTAGGAACTAAGATATATATTTTAAAATATCAAATTGAACACTTTGTTGTTTTTCAAAGCATTATTTATATTAGTGAAAGGATGGGACAACTTAAATTTTCAGTAGTGAGAGAGAATTGCACAAATTATGGTATATCCATACAGTGAAATATTATGTAGCCATTGAAAATGATATCTAGAGGTAGGGGAAGCCTTCTATAAGAAGACCAAAAACAATGAAGAAATAAAGGAAAACAGTGATAAATTTGACTATAACAAAATTTGAAACTTCTGTATGACCAAAGTTAAAAGATAGGCAAGAGACTAGGAGAAACTGATTTCCAACATGTATATTAAACAAACAAACAGTTTGTAGTCAGAATATATGTACTTCTGCAAATCAACCTAAAAGAAAAAATGGACAAAAGATGTGAATTCTCAATTAACTGAGACAATAGCATGACCAAGAATCATTTGAAAAGATGTTTGTTCAACCTGACTAGTGTTAGCTAAATGCAACTTGAAATGAGAATTTTTATCTCTGAAGATTTACAAACATTAAAAAGATTGAGACAGGGACTTCTCTGGTGGTCCAGCAGCTAAGACTCCGCGCTCCCAATGCAGGGGGCCTGGGTTCGATCCCTGGTCAGGGAACTAGATCCCGCATGCCGCAACTAAAGATCCCACATGCCACAACTAAAAAGATCCCGTATGCCACAACTAAAGATCCTGCATGCCAAAACTAAGACCTGGCACAGCCAAATAAATGAATAAATACTAAAAAAAAAAAAAAATGATTGAGACAATTGACGAGGTGACTTCCACCTCGGGCCTTTTTCTATGTTCCTTGTTAGGAACTGCCTGTAAGTGGCATCCATCCAAGCGAGAAACTAGCATAGGTTGCTGCGAAATGACTGTGCAGAGGTAGCCCCAAGCTGGCAAGGGATGGTCTGGGTTTTCTGGACTCTGTGTTTTTCTGGTAAAGGAACCCTGAGGACTGATCAGCTCTCGCAGGTCTAAAATCATGGCCCGTGGACCAATAACATTCAAGTATGTGGCCATAGAGTTCTTTCAGCATGAATGGGAATTTCTCAACCTTGTTCAGAAGAAATTGTACTGCAGTGTGATGATGGAGAACTATAGTAACTTGGTCTCACTGAGCCATTCCATTTCCAAGCCAGACATAATTGTGTTATTGGAGCAAGGAAAAGAACCCTGTGAGGGAAGAAACAAGAAACTGGAGTACAGATTTGGATTCAAGTTATAAAATAATCACTGATAGAAAAACCTTTACACCTGGAAAACATTCATCTCTTCTGCATCAGAGAATTCATAGTGGTGAGAAACCCTATGAAGATGGAGAATGTCGGAAGGCCTTTAGTTATGCCTCAAACTTTGTTCAACATGGAAAAGTTGATATTGGGGCAGACAGCCAGGACTCCAAGATGGAATCAGTTGTACCACTGAAGAAGAATGTCCTGAATGTCAAACTAAGGGAGCTGGCAAGCTGGATACTAATGCGGGATTTCATCCTTAAAGGAAGTGCTGGAGCGTTTCAAAGAGGTTATTACTGGTATTACAACAAGTATTTCAACATGAAGACAGGGAGCACTGTAGGGCTTTCTATGTTGCCGGCAGCTTATGTGATTTTCAGCTACTGCAGTTCTTACAAGGAACTTTAAACATGAGCAGCCAAGTGAGTACCTCTGAAGAGGGCACACTCTGCATTCCTGACCATGACTTTTGCCCGGCACCCCTGAATCCTTTCATATCCTGATGCAGAATTAACATCCAAGAAAAGGTGACTGGTTAAAAAAAAAAAAAGGTCTCTCTTAGCAACTTTCAAGTATGTAATACAGTATTATCAACTATACTCACCATGCTGTACATTACATACCCGTGACTTATTTATTTTATAATTGGAAATTTGTAGCTTTTGACCACCTTCACCCATTTCACCCACTGCCTCTGGCAACCATCAATCTGTTCTCTGTATCTATGGCTTCAGTTTCATTTTTTTGTTTTTGATTTTTTAAAAAAATTTCACCTATGCGATCATACAGTATTGGTATTTGTCTTTCTCTGTCTGACTTCACTTAGTGTGATGCCCTCAAGATTCATCCATGTTGTCTCAAATGGCAGGATTTCCTTCTTTTTACAACTGAGTAATGTTTGATTGTATATGTGCCACATTTTTTAAAAATCCATTCATCTCGTGATGAACTCTTGTTGTTTCCTTGTCTTGGCTATTGCAGATGGCACTGCATTGAACACTGGGGTGCAGATATATTTTCTTTTCTTTTTCTTTTTAATAAATTTATTTATTTTATTTATTTTTGTCTGTGTTGGGTCTTTGTTGCTGCGCACGGGCTTTCTCTAATTGCGGCGAGTGGGGGCTACTGTTCATTGTGGTGCGCAGGCTTCTCATTGCGATGGCTTCTCTTGTTGTGGAGCACGGGCTCTAGGCGCACGGGCTTCAGTAGTTGTGGCACATGGGCTCAGTAGTTGTGGCTCGTGGGCTCTAGAGCACAGGCTCAGTAGTTGTGGTGCATGGGCTTAGTTGGTCTGCGGCATGTGGGATCTTCCCGGATCAGGGCTCGAACCCGTGTCCCCTGCATTGGCAGGTGGATTCTCAACCACTGTGCCACCAGGGAAGCCCCAGATATATTTTCAAGATAGTGATTTTGTTTCTTTTGGATTGTTGACTTAAGAAAAAATGTACAACATGAGAGTTGGCGAGTTAAATTTTATTTGGGGCAAAATGAGGACTATAACCTGGGAGACAGCATTTCAGATAGCTCTGAGAAACTGCTCCAGAGAGGTGGTGGGGGAGGTCAGTATATATGTGATTTTGGTGAAGGGGGAGTACATGCAATCAAGTACATATTTTTTTGCAGAAGGTTACTGCTAGTCACGAGGAGCAGACATCACCCTGAAGGATTTTAGTGCTTTACTAGATATGAGGAGATATAAGAATTAGGCTCATAAACTCAGCTCCTGAAAATACCTAACTATCTGAAGACCTGTTCTGCCAGTTTTCCCAGAGCACAGAGAACCTCATTTCTGCTCTCCACCCTGAACTCCTTTCAGGGGGTGTTGAAAGTCAGCAGATGCAGCAGCACATTATTTAATCCTTGTAGAGGTAGATGGCAAGTTCCAATTTGTATTGGAACCTCTCCAGCCAAGTGACCCAGCTGAGCATGACCTTTGCCTCTGTACCTTCCTCTCCACATGTCCTACTCATCTTTCAAAACAGCCCAGAAGTTCTTTCTTCTAAGAAGCTTTTTCTGAACTCCCCTTCTAGGATAATTGCCCTTCTGCTGAGCTTGTATGGTACCCTTGGAGTGTTTCTGGTGAAATACTGTGCCAGTCCTATTGGGATTGTCTGTGTGCTCATCTCCTCCTCAACCTGTGAGCTCCTTGAGAGCAGAGCCTGTATCTCATTGCAGGGGCACCTAGCAGAAGGCACCGCATAGAGTGGGTGTCTAGTAAACATTTGTAGAGTGAATAAATTGTGTTTATTCACTCTACAACACGAATAAATTGTGTTTCTTGATTTATGATATACACATACATATACACATACATACACCACTGAGTTCTGGCCACCAACTAAAGATTATAATTTGCAGAATTGGTTTTGTTTGGCAGACAGAAAGGATTAGAAATTAAAATTTCAGACTTTATAACAAATATTGGTGAGGATGTGGAGAAAAGGGAACCCTTGTACACTGTTGATGGGAATGCAAATTGGTGCAGCCACTGTGGAAAACAGTATGGAGTGTCCTCACAAAACTAAAATTAGAACTACTATATGATCCAGCAATTCCACTCCTGGGTATATAGCCAAAGAAAATGAAAACACTAATTTGAAACGATATATACACTCCAATGTTCATAGCAGCATTATTTGCAATAGCCACGATATGGAAGCAACCTAAGTGTCCATCAATAGATGCATGAATAAAGAATATGTGGTGTGTGTACACACACACACACACACACACACACACACAAAATGGAATACTACTCAGTCATTAAAAAAAAGAATGAAATTTTGCCATTGGCAACACCATGGATGGACCTGGAGGGCATTATGCTAAGTGAAATAAGTCAGACAGAGAAAGACAAATACTGTGTGATAAAACTTACATGTGGAATCTGAAAGATAAAACAAACTACTGAATATAACAGAAAAAGAAACAGACTCACAGATACAACTAGTGGTTACCAGTGGGGAGAGGGAAGGGGGGAGGGGCAGGATAGGGGTAGGGTTCAAACTACTACGTATAAAATAAATAAGCTACAAGGGTATATTGTACAGTACAGGGAATATAGCCAATATTTTATCATAACTATAAATGGAGTATAATCTTTAAAAATTGTGAATCACTATGTTGTACCCCTGAAACTTATACAATATTATAAGTCAACTTTACCCCAATAAAAATAAATAAATAGATTGACATAAAAAATTTTTTTTTTGGATTTTGGAGAAAGCTGTCTCTTCTCTGGCCGATTGAATTGAACAGCCCTGAAGGCATGGTTATATTTCACCTCTTCCTACCTCACAGCCACAGTTTGTATGGTTCTTACTGGCCAAAGCCACCACGGGCAGCGGGGTCCCATAGAACTCATCTGGTGTTTAAAGGCCTTTGAAAATAACCTAATGACTATTACT